CTTCAATTCTTTATAATAATAATTTATGTATTCAAAAATCTTACATTTTTAAGGGAATTTTCTTTAAAATTTAAATTAAATTCTTAAGTAAATTCTTTTAATTTAAAAGATGATATATAATAAAATATAAAGATATAAATGATTTTATTATTTATCATTAATTAAAATCATTTTTTCTGGATTTATAGAAGTGGAATTTATCCTTATAATTTAAGCGAAGTATGAATTATTTTATTTCTATCGCTCTTCTTCATCTTCACTTGTTCAAGTGAAGATGGAGGAGTGAGAAGGTGATACTGATCTTTTTATAGAAAATACATTTTCTGTATTAAATTTCATGATATTTTTTATTACTTTTAAACATTTTAATTGAAAAATATTATCAATAGCTATCATATAATTAAAGTAAACAGTCAACAAATCCAATAATCTTAGTAGATGTTAATAAAGATAAAGCTAAATGAAAAGTAAGTCTAAACATTGATGGCCTTCTATTAATTACAAAGATAAAGTATCTAAAATATTTTAACAATGATTGGGCAGTAGTAAACTAGGTAAACACACAGAAGTAAAAGAGAGAAACTTATCTCTACTTCGCCATTTTCTCAACCAATTGTCATTAAGATAAATGTATTTTTAAATAATTTTCTTTAATATTTTCAAGTAAATTTTATCTCTTTATATAAAAGATTATATAATATTTATATAAAATATAAAAAATATAGCATATAAAACACTTATAGAAAGACCTCTTGTAAGAATCATTCTACAATTATAGAATTTTTTCTCACTGAAGTTTAAGTCATCTACTATATATTATATAGATTTAAAAGCATAAAATACATCTAGAATCATATAAAATAATATGGAAAGTTTCCTATAAGAGCTCTTTCTATTCATAATATGCAAAAAAAAGGAACAAATCTTAGAAGGCGCTCCATTTCCTACTTTTAGACCAGTCTCTGATTGTGTGTAATTATAGACACAGAAATCTTTCTATGTATATTCTATATGATTCTATAATACTTATAATTCTTTCTGTATAAACTAAATCTTCCTTATATAGTTTTAAATCTTAATTAGTGTTTCCAGATTATAAATTCATCCGATTTTAGATACTCAATAGATGTAAACTTTAAAGTATTTTAGCTGAAGATGTCGATGTTTTAAACCCCAAGTTCCCTTTTAAAATGGTCTAAATTCCCCGTCTATAATGAATTAAAGCATTTATAAAATTATAAAAAAAAAATGTTAAATTAAATTTTAAAGCATAGTACCAGGTATTTATCATATAACTTTATTTATTGTGTTTGCAATATGCTTACATTATTAGAATTTCAAGATTTTTATAAAAGCTTGCAGTTTAAATTTTGTTTAATTCTGATACAAATATATATATATATATAAAGTAATAATATTTTTATTCCTTAAATATGATTTTTATGACTTTTATGTGCTATAAAATATACTTATCATAAGAATATAGGGCTTTTATGTAATACATAACAGGATAGAAGCGCATCAAGAAAAATCTTATTTATAAAATATTTGTTTGTATTTTTATTAATTTTTATTATTTAAAAATAAATTAATTCGTGGAAATAGCATAGAAATCACGTTTATTTTGTTATTTTTTCATTAGAAAGGTGTTGTTTTTTTGTAGTAAAATTTACATTAATTTTATTACATGTTCTATACAAATTCTATCAGTTTTATTCATTTACGACAGCATCTTTTTTTTTAAAAAAAAATAAAACATTATCCATAGAAATCTCGATTTAACATAGTGATAAGAATGTAAGATGTAAATAAAAAGTGTCTGACTTACCATCCAACGTGCTAAGAAGAAAGAGGAGAACATTAGTTATAGAGTGTATCTGTGGCTAACCAATGTTTCCCATCAAAAAACTGTCTCGCTATCATTGTATCCGATATATCATTTCCTCCATACCATCTACTTTCGGTCAACCAACGCCTCCATGTCGAAACCTCAGCCAAGAATAGGCGGAGCCATGCTTTACGACAGCTTAGCGATATAGTGAAGTGATTGGTGGAGAGAAGTCGAGACAAGAAGAGAAAGGCAGCAGTTGCTTGGAGACAGGCGGTCGTCTACTGATATCTAGATAATCCCTGTGACTTCTCGGCCATCATTGATTGGATCTCATCGTTCACCTTTAGTCTCCGTTTGCAAACCGATATTTATCTAAAGAGAAGTTGGATAGAGAAGAGAGAGTAGACGTTGTCTACATTCCGGCAATGTTCGTGACATTAAAAAGTTTCCAAATATGTATACCTGAGTAGTGTTTCGTTGAACGTTTCACCGATCGAGAATTTACTAGATTTTGTTATTGTTTGAGTTATTTTATTTTAGAAAAAAAAATAATTGCTTTAAAAAAAAAAATCTCTTAAAGTCGAAGATTCTGATGTGTTGTATAGAGATTGAAAAAGAGAAAAGTCTGGGAGGTCTAAGTGTGGATGCAGAGATTGAAGACTGAAGACCGTGTTCCTACGGTCATGCTGTACAGTGGTATGTTTTTTTTTCCTCCCCCTATCGACCCTATTCTATATAATGTTCATTTGTTCTTTAACAGCTATTATGGCTTTAAGTGTAATTTAAACTTTTTATTTCAACAACCGATACTTATCTTTTAATATTAGAAAGGTTTTCTAAACGATCAGGTTAGTCTCTTTTATTTTGATGAGGTAATTTAACAGGTTGACGTGTCTTTCCCGTAAAGTATTCTTGTTTGTAATGCTCAGCTGTCTTGTTGAGAAGCCGAACCCTAGGCGTTAGTCTGTGTTTTATTCTTAATTTCAATTAAAGATGTCGAGAATTTTATAATATAATTAAAATGTGAAAACATTACAACGTTTAAATGTTTAAAATACAATGTTTACACTTATATTTTAATTCTTATATAGTTTTTTAAGACATGTTTACTTTAGAAGATGGATAAATCTGACTTTATAATGCTGAATGTAAGCTTAATTTGAATTGTATTGATGTTTAAAAGTCTATACCATTTCTTTTATATTACAGAAGCATCCCAGTATACAGGAGGAGTAGTGAAACCTGGATGGACAGCTTCTCCAACTAGTGGATCCCCCACTTATGATTCACAATCTCCTGTTAATCCTGGTAAATATCTTCATCATATCTTCTACATATTCATTAAATATGTTATACTGTACGCGTTTAAAACAAGTTAATTAAGATTTTTATTCTTAAAACACATTAAAAAGGCATTATATACAAGTTATCCTTGCCTATAATACATAAACTCATCCTTGACTCTCTTATTCTGTACTCAAGGATAAGTTTATATACTTCTTTCCTTAAAATTTCTGCTTGATATTTTTCTTTTTAGTATAGAACTATTAAAATAACAAACGGGAAGCCATTTGAAAGTTTCTTTTAATTATATTGATTAATACTTGACCGCCATCTTTGTTTATCTTTATCTTCATAGGTTTCTCTACTACTCTGACAGGAGCAACAACATCTAAACAGACAGACTCACAGGCGCAAGGTATCTTATTAAACTTAAATATATAAAATTTATTTTAAGCAATGCTNCATTCTCGACATGAAATCGAGTATTTTATGATAATGAAATTGATACATTCTCGACATGAAATCGAGTATTTTATGATAATGAAATTGATACATTCTCGACATGAAATCGAGTATTTTATGGTAATGAAATTGATACATTTCCGAACATGATATTGATTATTTTATAATAATGAAAAGTGACATGTGTTTAATATGAAATTGAATATCTTATGATAATGAATTGATACATTTTTCAAATATAAAACTGATTATTTTGCAGAATTAATCCATTTTCAATGTGAAATCCATTAATTTACTAGTAATGAAAAGATGATAAATTTATAATATGAATTTTTTATAATGTAATTTAATATTTTATTCTATAAAAAATACAAAAATGTAATAACAACGTAATTTTTCTCATCCGTCTTAGTTGCAACTACAACTCATTCATGACGCAAATGTAGTAAATATGACCATATTTGGTTTATCTTTAATGATAACAAAGTAAAACTATTAAATTATGTATAAAGATATAGTTGTCTACTATACTTCAACACTTCCGACATGGCTTCTTTCACTGATCAGATATAAAAATTAATTAAATTTTAAGCTTTCAACTAGCATAATTAGCCTGTTAAAGAAGAGATAATGATGCAGAACTTAAATAGTTTTATTCAATATCTTGATGAACACGATTTGCCGAAACCTGTTAAAGAATTATGCGAGATGAAAATTATCAAAAACTTTCATTTATCTGGTAAGAATTTTTAATTATTTTTCATATTTTTATTGAAAAATAGTAATTAAAAAGCCATTATTACTTAGTTGTTTCTACTTCATACTCTATAATTAATTTTTTAACGTAAAATTTTGATTTATTTTTATTATTTTTAAAGTAAATAAAAGTTATTTTAAATAATATTTTATTTGTGCGTAATAAATTAATTTTCTTCAATAGAAGCAATAAATAATCAGTAATAATATTTAACTAAAATAAACATTTTTATATTGTTTTATTTTAACGTTTACGGTATAAATAATGGTCATATATCAAAATTTTTGATAAAAATTTATGACTTAATCTGTTTTCTTAAAGGAGAAAACGTTGTATATAAGCTAGATATATGTATACTAAAATATGTTTTAAATAATACATTTTATAATAAGCTTCCTCGCGCATAATTCTTTATTTATGAGAAAGATATTTTATGTTTTTAAAGCCTACCATAGAGATATACATCGATATACTTTACATCCAAGTTAAATTTTTGGTTATAATTTCTCACGAAAAATACTAATAAATGCAAAAAGAAAAATAAATAAAATTCATTATAACAATCAGGCAACAGATGCGATTCGAATGAAGCAGATGCACAGAAAATTAGCAAGCCTAGTTATGAAATCTTTAACATATTATCGCACCGCCCACACATGTTAGAGTGTGTAAAGAATGAATAACACTCGAGAGACTTCATAGAAAAGATCACAAGTGAGAGAGAGAGAGGAAAAAAGGGAGCTTCTGGGGATGAAAACAGCGGTTTCGAGGGTTGAAAATGGGGGTGTGCAGAGTAAAGTGCACTCTCTCGTTGCTGCAGGCTTAACGGTGCATAGAGCACTCCACGTTGCGGTAAGACTTATTTACATATCATTTTACCGCCATTAACGTGCTCGAAGTTGGTGAGGATGCTATTTAACGGCAAGTTGCACACCAATCTGTTGTATTAGTCACGAACATTTAACTCCCGAAAATCGCTTTAACTTCTTTTTTTCTACGTTCAATGAATGGATGGCGGATAAATTACCTTTTTACTCCCCTCCACTAAATTTATGAGAAGAATATTTTAATTATCTAGACACGATCTCTTACCTTATTTATTTATGACGTTATTTTTTAATTTTTTATTTTATTTTTTGTCCTCTATTCGACTTGTTTTTTCAAATGTATTTTGATTAATATCTTTCTTATTTGTTTACATAGTTTAATCGGAAATAAATTCGATTTTTTTATACGATTATTTTCTACGTTTTTTTTAATATAGTTATCGCTTATCTAATAGCAAGTTTCAGACGTTTATATAGCTTTAAATGTACTTAAAATGCTTATTTAATATATAAAAATGTACTTTTTAAGTTTTACTCGTTTATATTTTACTTAAAAACATGATTATTTTTAAAGATAAATTTTTATATTTAAATATTCTAGTTCCTATTCTGGCAGCCTTTTAACAGTTTAGTTAATTAATTAAACGTTTATAATAGTTTTTTATTACTAGATTAGAATGTTTTTTTTTAATTGCCATAAGCACTAAGTTTAATTCAGTTATATGCAATATAACCAGCTAATTTATTATATTATTAAATGAATTGCATTGCTTTAATTCAGTTTACTTTCTTTCTATTTATTTATCTATTTTCTTTTTAGGAAGTGGACAAATACAACTGTGGCAATTCCTTCTTGAATTGCTTTCCGATTCTAGTAACTGCAATTGCATAGCATGGGAAGGTACTAATGGAGAATTTAAGCTTACTGATCCAGAAGAAGTGGCTAGGAGATGGGGAGAACGAAAGAGTAAACCAAACATGAACTATGATAAATTAAGTCGAGCACTTAGGTACTATTACGATAAGAATATTATGACTAAAGTACACGGTAAAAGATACGCGTACAAGTTTGATTTTCACGGTTTAGCCCAGGCATGTCAACCACCCACTAACGATAGTCCGGTATATAAATTTCAATCGGATTTCTTTCTGCCGCCTTATCACGCTCATGCACCGAAATTAAATTATCTTAGCACAAGACCGAGTACATCACAAGCTCCTTTGTTTACACCAGCGGCTGTACCTGGATCATACTGGTCTGCTACACCTTCCGGTGCTTGTAACCTTTATCCTAATATATCTGGTCATGCTCTATCCCATCATGGGCATAGAACAAATGGTATAGGAGCATATTATGCATAAAGGTGACTAAAAATCCCGGATTTTTATGCTTTCTACTTGGTTTTTTGGTCTTCTGCGTCACTCCCCTCTTAAATTATTCATTAGGAGGCTTGACACTTTTCTTTTCTAGTTGTTTTTAGAGCGTGAAAAGTTGGGATTAAAGAGCATAAAAATTCGGGTGATCCATAATGATGTAGAGAAAGAAAAATGTGTATATGTCACTTAAAAATATATAACGATAACATTAAGAATAATTGATTAATATAGAAATATGTACAGAAAAAAAAATATTAAATATATATAAATGCATAAATTGTATAATTATAACTCATTTTGTTTAATTTTTTTTTTCGGGTAAAATTTTATTAATTTATTAAAATAAATTCTATGCTTTATAATGTAAATCGATGTCGTTCAATAGGCCTATTATTATTATAATTAATTTTCTACGTTTATAAATATTTTAAAAGAAATAAAAAAAAAGTACATTCATTTTTGACTGCTTTTTTTTATTATAAATTGTAAATTTTATTATAAAAATATTTGCTAAATAAAGAAAAATATAAAAATTAAAATTTTCATTATTACGTTTAAATTTTATTTTAAAATATTCAGTTTCATATGTATAAATTTAATTGAGTTCTTTTCTATTATTATTAAATTAAAAATATTCAATTACGTATTTAAATATGAAACTGAATATTTTTAACAGAACAATTTTAATTGTTATAATAAAAATATAAATTTTTTTTTGTTATTTTCTGGAAATTTATTAATTAAGCGTTCTGGCGCGAAATTAGCTAAAAAATAAAAAATAAATAAAGCATTATTTTTGAAATTATGAAATAATTATATTAAATAAACTCAGTTTTTTTTCCCCTAAAAAAATGAAAGAAATTAAACACTGCGATATTAATATAGCCTTGTATGAACTCATACTTGTGTGACGAAATCTCTATATATAAACGGTATTATTTACACAGGTGTGACTAGAATTACTTTCTTTTAGTGCCGTATACTCGCGCCATCTAGCGAGTAAAAATCAATAGTGAATGAAGATATCGAAAGATGGCGCCACCTCTCAAAGACAATACTACATCTTACTACAATAAGAATGTATGTTATAAAGTATTAATTTAAATTATCTTATTTAGAAAATAAAATTGTAACTTATCATTTATTCAAAAAAATAATAATGTTTATGTTAAATATCAAATTTTCTTCTTAAAATCAACGATTACGAATGTCTATTTTCTGTGTTTGCAATGCTAAATTTCTATGACAGGGGATCTTTTTTATGGTGCCATTTTAGGTTTTGAGCATACATTCTAAAGAATCTGGAGTCTAACATAAAAGGGCTTCAGTTTACACATAAATAGAGTATTAAGTGCAGCTGACGGAAAACATGTGGTACCCAAATAGGGCTAAACTTTGTGCCATATGAACTTTATTATAAATTATACTGTAATAACAAAGTTATGCCAAATCTAATGATCTGTTTTTTAAATGAAATTAATTAAATTTTATTGGTTAAATTGTTTATAGGACGAAATTATTTAAATAGTTAAAAATTAAATTTCTCGAATTTTCTAATTTTTATTAAAGTTTTTATATATTTGATTTGTTTTTATTAGAAATTGATTTTTTAATCAATTAAAACAATTTAATTTAATTTAATCAATTAAAATAATTTAATCGATTACATCCAAATTTATTAATATTTTTCTGAAACTGAAATAAATTTTAATTTAGATTAAAAAATTAATTTATATCAATTTCATTTTAATTTAGATCAATTTCAAAACTCGAATTTTGAAATTGATCTAAATTAAAATGAAATTGATATAAATTGATTTTTTAATCTAAATTAAAATTGATATAAATTAATTTTTTAATGTACGTAATTTTTTTCATTATTTTTTTTTTAATTTAAATTCTTAATAATTTATTGGAATAATTTTTTGGGAGCTTTGATTTAAATTAAATCGAAAGTGTTTGCATTACATAACAACGAATTTTTAAAAATAAAAATATATCTTATGTATTATTCTCAAAACCTGTTAAATCAATTATCATACGATAACATTAATGTTTTATTAGATAATTTATAGTCCTTGTTTTCCTGAGTCATTAGAATCTATGATTCATAACCTGAAAAATGTGGTATTCTGTAGACATTTGACACTTCGAGGAAGTATGCAACAAATAAAGAACATAGATTTATAATAATTCAAGTTACATAAAAATTTTTAGAAATGCTTTAGGCAATCTTATTGTAGAAACACGCATTATGTCACTAAGTCTAGGTATTTTTCTATTTAAAAAGTTTCATAATAATACAAAATATATTATCATTCTATCCCTCTTCTGTATATATTTTAATGTTTAAGAAAAAAATCGTCGCCATGTTTTTTTGTTCGCTCCACTCTCGGTATTTTTATATCCTTTAACTTCAAGTGAGTCAGTCAGTGAGTCAATTCCTTGAAGGTTTTTGTCAGATATTTAATTAATATTTTTAAATACCCAGCCTATATAAAGTCCTACAAATTATAGTGCATATAGTCACTTGTATAACAGCGTGTGTATACAGTATATATATATATATTTGTTAAATCTGCTAGTTTATATGACACTTCTACTGTTTAAATTCTAAATAGGAGTTTAATTATCGTAAATTCATATTAAAAACTTATAAAATTGAATATTTTGACTCCCAGTCCAATTACTGGAGCATTTCATTTTGGACTTTGGCTTACTTCAACGAGTAAGCAACAATCTATTTAAAACCATTTTGGTGTACTCTCTACTAATTATAAGTAAGAATCTTACTGATTGGAGTTTAAAGGTGGTAAGGATATACTTTTCTACTTCATATATTCGAAAACTAAAAGTATATTTTACTTAGGTATCATATAACAACGTTCGTGGTTCTATTAAGTGTAAGACTTGTTTATTTTCTCAATTATTTTTCTTCTATCTAGTAATATGATATCGTATGATAAACAATGATGCTAATGATTATCGTTTTCTGCATACTAGACAGTAAAATAGACTGATAGTGACGTATTAATTAAGTTAATATTGATAAAAAAAATTGCATAAACTTTAAGGAAAATGTGTTTACATTACGTATATGTAGAATTAAGGTAAAAAAAAAATTCTAAATTTTGGCCCTGGTAATTAAGATCTTTTCTCATATACTGTAGTTCTAAGTAAAATTTCAAGGAAAAACTCTTCTATAAATAGCATTTTTATTTAAAATTATATACATTAAGACTTCAATTTATTTCTTTTTTTTTTAATATTTATCATGATAAATTATCTTCCAAATGGCAAAAATTATACAAATAAATCTCATTATCAGTATATATTTTTTCAATTGAGAAACCTGTTTTATTTATAAAATTTTAAAATATTTTAAAGAAAGATGTTTACATTCTTCCTTTAAATTACATAATAACTATAAATCTGAATTAATTATCAGTAAATAAAGCCTTTAGAAGGCCATTCTTACAACTTATTATTTATCTGAATTAGTCATAAGTTTGCAATTTCTTACAATCTTATCAAATATTTGTACTATGTCATACCTTTCCTAACTACCAATGCAAAGTTCCTGTCGTTATGGTTTCTACTATTTCCTGTTAAGATATATTGTTGTCCAGTGAAGCGCCAGGTCAATGTTAATATATTCTAACGGAAAAACATCTAAAAAACACAGGAAGTGTATAGTAATTCAAGTTTTTCCTAGTTCGTCACTTGTTAGATACGGCCACGCGATGTAGTTTGTAAGCTAGTTTGTTTGTTTCGTGTTGGTTAAATAACATTAATCGTTATTTAAATATAATTAAAACTCTGGAATTGATTAATATTAGCTAAAATTATCTGTTGATGATATCGGCAATTATTTTAAATATAATTAATTCTGTTGAAATTAATTATCATTTTCAGCAGAATTAATTATGCTTATTTCAGGAAAAGTTATCAATTTCATATGTTGGATGATATTGATGACTATTTTAATTTAATTTAAATGTTTTAAAATTGATTATTTTAAATTAAAATGTTCACTTTCACTGGCTGATTGTTATTGATTATTATTTAAATTTAATCTCTGATATTGATAATTTTATCTGTGTTTATAATTCATATGATCGTTAAATATAATTAAAGCTTTGATATTGATTATTATTTAAACTTAATTCAATCTCTGATATTGATCATTTTATCAAAGTTGTTTATTTCATAAGTTATGTGGCATTAAATATTAGCCTACTTAAATACAAAGATTTTGATACTAATTATTTTTAGCTAAAGGTGTCTATTTCACAAGCCATGTGATATTGATTAACTAAATACAATTAACGCTAGTGATATTGACAAATTTTAAATCAAACTGATCAATTTCACATGCACGTGATATAGATTATTGTTCGAAAAAACAAATGACAACAATTAACTGTTACATTAATTGTTTTTTATTATTATTATTATTTTGAAGTTGAAATTTTTAGTTGACAAATAAGGTTAACTAAAACACCTGCTAATACACCATCCCAGATGTTTTGTTCGATAGAAAATTTAAACCAGTCTAAAGCAGATGCAACTAAGTAACGGAAACATTGCCAGAAAAGAACCAAGAATACGATTGGAGACTATATATTCTTTTTTTTTCTATATTTTCACTTAAGAAATCCGAGAAACAAATAGAAGAGACGAGAGAGAAAGTATATTTTAAGAGATGGTCCATCTGCAAAGGTTTTAATTTACACATTCTGAAGTCGAATACTGTATTAGTAATGAAGCTGTAAAGAAGTGAAGACAGTAAAAATAGCTTTTCAACATTTAGCTATATATCCTTGGCTGTGTCGCTACTTCAAAGACAATTTAGAGTTATAAAATAAGGTTTTGAAGAGTTAGGTGACTGATGGACAAAGGAGTGTCAAAGACGTTTGTGTTAAAAAACAAAATGTTTTTTGTACTGCCGCCATTTTATTGGGAATGTTTTAGTGTTAAAACATTACATTTTATAACTACACTAAATTGTATTTTATTATAATATTTAATAGGGAGAACAGGATAAATAAAATTTAAAAAATAAAATGCTTCTGAATCACTTAGATCTTAAAAAAAAAAAAAAAATACTTTAAAATCAGATAATCTCAAAATAAATCTCTCACGTTATTAAATTACTTTCGTGAAAATCATAGAACAGAGCAAAACTTGCGTTTATATCCTAAGGTAAGAAAATATATAATTTGTACACAAATATACAAGTCTGTTATTGATTTAAAAAAAGAAATAATTT